TAATAATTGTATACGTCTGTCCATGACAAGGTTCACAAAGAATATTTCACCTGATTTGGATGTAATGAATGAAGAAGGGAACAGTAGCTGTATTGAATTGCGTGGTGCCAAGTACACTTCCCAGGGGCACCTGTCAGTGCAGAGCTGGTGTGTGAACATCCCATGTCGAGTGTTGGGAGCAGCTCTGTGTGTTTAGCATTGTCTGTGACCTTACGTTAAGTACTACATATTGCTTTCATGAACATATACAAAGTCCATATTAACATTTAGAGAAGTTCTACGTAGTAATAACATCATATACTACTCAAGAGAATTTAAGGAAAAGCAAATTCTTTCATTGTTAATCAGTCTGTGAATCTGTCTTGCCATGTCATGTGGCATATTTTGTTTAATGGGTTTAGGTTTTCTGAGGACAAAAATCTGTAAAACAAGAAATACAATGTGTCTGGCCTTAATGGTTTTTATTATTCTGGACCAGTTTTATGTCTGATTTAACAGATTTCCATGACCAGTGTCAAACGTTTGTAGGCTATTGCAGATTGTAGTTAATTTCCTCAGAAAAACACCAATTAAAACAAAAAATATAATACAAAGAAATATTTTAAGTAAACAGTTTATATCAACAAAGTATTTTAGTATATATGTTAATTGTACTGTTAAATATAGGTTGGGCCCATTGCAAAACATTAAAATAAGGCTATTTCAAAAATTGTTTATTATGATATTGTTAGTGGAATGAATAATGTATTGTTAAATATTAAGTTGAAAGTTAAGTTAAAAATAAATTCAATTCTGAAAGCTAAATTTATGCATATGATTTTAAGAGATATATGATATTGAGAGTTGTTCATAATATCAGATGGCAAATAAATGTATGCTAGGTAAAGCAGGGGCGGTGGGGTAGCCCAGTGGTTAAAGCGTTCGCTTGTGACATTGAAAATCTGAGTTTGAATCCCCACATGGGTACATTGTGTGAAGCCCATTTTTGGTGTTCCCCGCTGTGATATTGCTTGAATATTGCTTAAAGTGGCGTACAACCCAACTCACTCAGTAGATAAAATGAACATCACTGTAGTTGATGTGGAAATGGGAGGGACCCAAATATTGGATGTCTAGATGTGCTTGTGGAGGTAAACAAGGCAGTGTCTGCTCCTTGTGGCCAAGTTGTGCTGGAACAAAGACGTGCTGCATAAACAGGATATTACCCTATATCATAGGCTTGCTAAAACCTGTCTACTATCAACACCCACAACCTCTTTATCTTATATCAGCAGTCTGTCTTAGTGCACTGATGTGCATGTACTTGTAAGGTTGAGTTGATGCCTTAAGACAATAAACAGACATGATGCTGATGTGTGTATTGAGCTCCCAGCTGTCACAGGTTTGATGATGTTCAGGGAAATTAAACAATTTTGTGTAATTTTAAGGGTTTTATTTAGATTGGGATTAAGTTGCACCATGCCCTGTTCCTGAAACTTATCTTACCATTAAGGCAGTCGTAAATCTGGCTAATGGGACGACTGCACTGTTTTGTCATATTGTCTCTCTTCTGATTAGAATCTTGATTCAACAGAAGGACACAGTCCAAAAGTGATTTTGGTGTTGTCATTGCTGAAGGAGTTTTGCAGTAAAATGTAGTTGTGTTTTGTCCAAATTGGATGTTTTTGTGTGTTCGGTTTGTTAAGTTATGTCTTTGGTAAACAAGACATGGCAGAGATGAATTATTAAACTTGACTCCCTTGTTTCCAGCCTATTGTACGTCAAATACGCGCAAACACAATGGATGCCCCCCAAATACATAATGCATCCTGAGAGATGCAAAATACTATTTTTGTACTTAGTTCTTGACAAGAAACAAAAGGTTGCTGTAATTTAAATAGTTGCTAAATTTTACAGTTCAGTGTACCATTCCATTTCTTTACAGGACGGGGTGAGGGGTAGCCTAGTGGTTAAAGTGTTGGCTCGTCATGCCGAAGACCCGGGTTCGAATCCCCACATGGGTACAATGTGTGAAGCCCATTTCTGGTGTTCCCCGCTGTGATGTTGCTGGAATATTGCTAAAAGCGGTGTAAAACCAAACTCAGTCAGTCAGTCTTTCCCCGCATATTTCTTGCAAGGACCCTTGAATAATAACTGGGGCGTCTGGACCCCTAGTTGTGTAGGTCATGGTAAACCCCTGTGAGTGTGATCTAGTTAGGTTTAATTTAAACACTATGGTGTGTTAGCAGACCCGAAAGTCTAGCCTTACCTGAAGTCTTTATCGAGTCCATAGACGTATTGTAATTCTAATTCTTATTACTTGTCAAGAGGGAACGGTAAAATATTGTACAGTCCTAAGACCAATCTCATTGGCTCCTACTCTTCCCTATTTTAAATGATCAGAGAAGGTGGGGTAGCCTAGTGGTTAAGGCGTTCGCTCGTCACGCTGAAGACCGGGTTCGATTCCCCACAATGTGTGAAGCCCATTTCTGGTGTCCCACGCCATGATATTGCTGGAATATTGTAAGCAGCGTAAAACGAAACTCATTCACTCACCATAATAAATTATCAGTTCCTTACACCATCTATATCCATACATGATGCAAAATTAAAATGTCCAGTAAAATGTCCAGAACAATAGCAGTGTTAATTAGTTCCTTGATCCTCATTTTGAAAATAAGTAGAACATTACACCAGTAATTCCTCCTTAACCTGAGTTCAAATTGCAATCGAACCAAACAACCGTTGTCAGATTTCCTTTATAGTTAGCTGAAGGTTCCTCGTCATGAGGCAGTTTAAGAGTTATTGTTTGCATTTTGGCCAAGTTTATTTGCTGATGTTATAACACGACAAAGCCCCAAATCTGATTGGATGTCTGATTGAGTTATCGAATTATCCACACGTTTATCTTGATGTCCAAATGCAATGGTCTGCCAGCTTGGATCACGGGCACATTGAAATATTTGAATGCAGTTCTGACTAAGTGTCATAACAGGAGGTTGATCAGTAGGAGCTCATTATGACATCACGTTAAATACTATCTTCCTAATGATGGGCTTCATCTTGAGTTTTTTAGGACAGCCCGTGCTCGGTGCATTAGGAACTAGTTGATTGCCATTGTTATCATCCCATAAAATATTTCCCAAATGGAGATAATACGATTTAATTTCAATCTTTTTTATCAAATGATATCTTTTTAATTCATCAGTGGTTATTAAAGAGTGTTTCACTAGAACATGTGAACCTGTTTTTAATTTTTTATGTAATTAATCTTCATCTCATGTCTGATGTGAGTTTATTTCTTTTAAATATTCCGACAAGGGGGTGCACTGATTGACACACGATCCTGACCCACATCTCGAGCACATGAAAGTCATTCCGACCGTACTTTGTCTTCAATGTGTCATTCTTCGACTGAGTACGGAGTATTGTCCCTGCTATAATTAAATTTCCCAATACTTGTGCATTTGCATTTTGCAGACATTGTTAAGAGGAGTGATTCATGTCCGTGTTAAATTATCAGGATATTCCCTAGGGCTTGCAATTTTCGGCTGAAGTAGATTAGCTGTTCTGTTACTTTGATGAAAGAGAGAAGTACGCAGTTGGAATCGTAACTGATGTCATGTTCTTCTGTCAAACTGATTGAAGTTGATGCGGTATTAATATTTTTCGAGACCTTATTGTTTCTGTTCCAAATGGGACATGGATGGCTCAGTGGTAAAGAATATAATGTTTTTGTGCCACATTGTATCCCTCAGCCATGTCTGGATTGTTGATTGAGAGTTTGATTATCAAAGTTGTCCTGATTTTAAGTTTGGTCTCTTAGTTAATTTGTGCTTTCAGCAAAGGAGATTAATGTCTATAATCTGTGTTCAGCTCACATGAATGTGAAATTCAGGGAAATACTGTTAATAACAGCAAGTCTGTGACCTGAGGCACTTGTCTGTTGCCCGTGTCTCGTAAAATTTCCTTCGGTCAAGTTGAATTTTCTAATTGAAGTCCACACAGTAACAAAGAGGATGTCACATAATGTTGAGTGATAAAATAGACTAGTAGACTGACTGAAGCATTCTTTTTACTGACTCTACCCTTATGCTAAAGTTCACACTTTGACATAAATGAAGAATCTTGATGAAGTCATAAATGTATCCAAGCAGAATGTCAGATTTGACGGGGATGAACTTTGTGATCTGCATGTCCATCTGTTTCTGTTTTGTTTCCTGAGAAAAATGCAACATTAATTTGATATTTCTTCATGTAACGTTTCTCTTATTAAAGCCTTGTGGTTAGAGAAACCCTCTGCTTTAAAAGATAAGTGAGTTAGGGATAGTTCTCGTTTGTAATTTGAGTCTCCTCAGAGGCAGCATCCATTTGTGAAACAGAAGTGAAAAGCTATGTCTAAACGAAAAATGTCCATTTTGAAAAGTGTGATATTAGAATGAGAAGTAGACAGACCTCAGTGCCTTTTGCTCAGGAAAATCTTTTTAATATTTTCCGGAAACAAGGTTTGGGAAAGACATGTCCGTTAGGAAGATATTCCCAGGCTTGTTAAAGTCGAACATTAGTCCATAATGAACTGTGGAGTAGTTTGATATTACCATTGACATTTACCTGTAAAGGAGTTTTCTAAATCAATTAACAATTGTGTCTATTTCAAGTATTTATCTGCATCTCAAAGTTTGCACAGAGGAGAGAGGACGTTTAAACATTTTATAGCTCACACATGACTAAACACTTGTAGTTAATCCTTTGAAGAGGGGTAAACAATTCAAAGTTAGAGCTGATCTTGATCTTTCATGTTAGGTTCAATGAGACTGAACAAAACAAGGATCAAGAATATGCTGGGGGATATTTTTATGACATTGTGTGACCAGTGTCCCATCAAAGGAATCTCCCAGAAAATGTTCATGATACCTAACTTTTATTCTTCAGTATATATATGGTTTAAAAAGAAAAAGGTATTTGATATTGCTCAAATACATGTTGTCATGATTTAAACAATACATTTTGTTTACTTACAGCTGAAAATAATGAAGACAAAATATACAACACCCGGCCAAAGATTACAGGGAACTTCGTGGATTCAACTGTGATGCTGAAAGCTGGGGACAACTTTACTCTACTGTGTGAGGGAGACTTTCCCTTGGAGTGGCATGTGACAGCCCCAGGCCCACAGGACAGGGTGAGTGAAGGGATTGTTTTATAAGTTTATTCTTATGCAGTACTGCCGTCATAAGGCTGAATATTCAGTATTATTACCTACGAGGGCGAACATATCGGGTTTCATATTTTTCATACGATGCCCTAGGGCAAAATATCACTTTGTCATGGTGACGTGACGTCATGAACAAGGCTATGACGTCACGTTTCTTCTGTGACGTTGCGTTCTACATGCGGCGACGGCGGGTAGCCAGCCTGTGTTTGAAAGTAGATTTGGGTTTTATTTTCCTCAATTTGACGACTTCGGTAATAAACAGAATATTATATTCGTGCCCATATCATACTATGTTTATGACACTCGTGCCTAAATATCAGCATATCCCTCGCTCTCGCTTGGGAAATACCAACATTTAGGCACTCGTGTCATAAACATAGTATGACATGGGCACTCATATAATATCATCTATGTGTGGTGCTAAACAACTAACAAATCCTATGCCATATTCTGAAGTACCACATGCAGATCCTTGTGACATGCGACAGCCCCAGGCCCACAGGACAGTTAGTGAGGGGTTGTTTTATATACTTGTGGCATGTGACGGCCCCCACAGGACAGGGTGAGTGAAGGGATTGTTTTTATATAAGTTTATTCTTATCCAGTACTGCCGTCCATAAGGCTGGAATATTCAGTATTATTACCTCACGAGGGCAAACATATCGGGTTTAATATTTTTCATACGATGCCCTAGGGCAAAGTATCACTTTAGTCATGGTGACGTGGCGTCATGAACAAGGCTATGGCGTCAAGTTTCTTCTGTGACGTTAGCGTTCTACATCTTGGCGGACGGTGGTAGAGCATCCTGTGTTTGAAAGTAGATTTGGGTTTATTTTCCTCAATTTGACGACTTCGGTAATAAACAGAATATTATATTCGTGCCCATATCATACTATGTTTATGACACTCGTGCCTAAATATCAGCATATCCCTCGCTCTCGCTTGGGAAATACCAACATTTAGGCACTCGTGTCATAAACATAGTGTGACATGGGCACTCATATAATATCATCTATGTGTGGTGCTAAACAACTAACAAATCCTATGCCATATTCTGAAGTACCACATGCAGATCCTTGTGACATGCGACAGCCCCAGGCCCACAGGACAGGGTTAGTGAGGGGTTGTTTTATATACTTTTTTTTTTACACAGTACTGCCGTTATAACGCTTGAATATTGCGTAGTGTGGTGCTAAACGACAAACAAACAAATCCTATGCCATATTTTGAAATACCACATGCAGGTCCTTGTGACATGCGACAGCCTCAGTCTCAGAGAACAGGGTGAGAGAGGGAAATGTTTTTCTTATTTTTTAATTTTGGCCATGCGCGCCCATCATATATTAGAAATATTGTTGAGCATGGTGCTAAACAACAAACAAATGTTATACCATAGTTGCCATCAACATCAAGGAAGAATATGATGGCCCAAGGCCCTCAAGGCTGGATCGGTTTCATTTTTATGCCATGCTACCACCATAGCTGGAATATTGCGTAGTGTGGCATTAAACAACAAACAAACAAATCTTATGGGATAGTTGGAAATACTATCACCTGATTATGGTGGCATGTGACGGCCCAATGCCACAGGACAGGGTGACATGGAGATACCGGATGCGTCAGTATGCTTGACAATGATATGAGTGTGTGAGTGAGTATGTTTTACGCCCCTTTTAGCAATATTCCAGCAATATCACAGTGGGGGACACCAGAAATGGGCTCTCACATTTTGCCCATGTGGGGAATCAAAAACATGGGTCTTCGGCGAGACGAGCCAACGCTTTAACCACTAGGCTACCCACCGCCCCGATAATGATTTGAAGATGAACTTGATAAAAGGCAGGATGTGATTCAACGAACGCCAGGCATACACAGCACTTGCAGGTGCTTCAAGTATTTCCCTCATCCTATACCTTGGCAGGTCTGAGTGGGGTAGCCCAGTGGTTAAAGCAATTGTTCATCACTCCGAAGACCCGTATTTGATTTTCCACATGGGTACATTTAAGTCCATTTCTGGTGTCCCCCCCACTGTGATATTGCTGGAATATTGCTAAAAGCGACACATAACCCAACTCACTCACTCACCTATACCTTGGCATGCAAATTAGTTATATTGAGCCCGCTGATTCCACATTCTTGACACAGTTAGTCCCTAGGAACTGATAATGAATGTGTTGAGAGGCAGTCTGTTATGCTGTCATGTAGGTGATGATGAATGGTTAAATGGCCTGAGCTTGTAGACAAAGATGAATGGCAGATATTGCATACCTGAATGGTGGACGGCCCTTCTGGTTTCATTGACATGATCATTCTGCTGACATGATGAAATAGTTGTCAGTTTGGTTATGAATAACTCGGGACAGACTGCAATGCTAAACATGCAATCACCTAACCAATCACACTACTATGCATGCAAGATACATTACTAATCACACCATTGCAGGTTTGTTCACAACATTGTGAGTGAGTGAGTTTAGTTTTATGCCGCACTCAGCAATATTCCAGCTACATGGCAGCGGTCTGTAAATAATCGAGTCTGGACCAGACAATCCAGTGATCAACAGCATGAGCATTGATCTGCACAACTGGGAACCGATGACATGTGTCAACCAAGTCAGCGAGCCTGACCACCCGATCCCGTTAGTCGCCTCTTACGACAAGCATGGGTTACTGAAGATTCATTCTAACCCAGATCTTCACGGGTCCACAACATAGAAATGTATGTCTAGTACACATGCATGTCTATAGAATGGTCATGGGAAAGAAAGGTATTGCATCATAATGGAGGCACATCTTGACATAAAATATACAGGTCCTTGTGATTCGAGTAATTATAAAATATTACAGTACATTACTATCAAATGACCACTACCATCAAACACACCACTACCATCAAACAACCACTACCACCAAACAGCCACTACCATACAAAACACCACTACCATCAAACAGCCACAACCATCAAACACACCACCACCATCAAACACACCATTGTCATCACACACTATATACTACCATCACATTCACCACTACCATCAAACAGACACTACTATCAAACAACCACTACCATCTCACACAAGTAACTACCATCAAACAGCCACTACTATCAAACAATCATAGTTTCAAATCGCTATTATTGGTTTGTATTACAAGGGGGAATGCACATTAAATGAAACACCGAGATCAAGTGGGGTTGGTCTGAGTTAACGATCATCACGTACCGCACGTGCATTTGTTTCACTGTTCCAACTACTGCGCTTACCCCCTTGGAGTACAAACCAATGATAGCGATTTGAAACTATGATCGTTTGTTAAACAACTTTTATCCTAAGATGAATAAAATTCTGAGATTTAAATGTTCAATTGGCAAGGTAAAATTATGAGGATTCGCAATCTTAATTTCACTTTATTGTATTTACTTTTGTTTAAAGTGAAATTCATCAGTACATTTTCACTGCAAACAGCCTATATGAAACACTATGATCACCACCACGAAGCCCACTACCACAACGCAACCACTACCGCAACTACTCTAGTACAATCACGCAACAACCACCACACACCTCCCAGCAACCAACACACTACCGCAAAGCAACCAGTACCAACAAACTGGTAATTTAAATGCTCTCTGGATTCAGTCTGACAGCGGTGTTTCGAAAAAAGAAGCTCCTTCTGGCGGCAACAAGACGGCGTCCCGCCTCACCCTCACCAACGCCCAGTATTACGACACAGGAAGCTACAGTTGCTACTATCAGGCGGACCAGCGCAAGGTCAGGGATGACTCGGCCGTCTACATCTTTGTCAAAGGTAAGAGAGTGTCAGTGAATGTTGCAGCAATATTCTACCTGTGTCAAGTAGGGGTGGGTATTGCAGAAAATTTTCATATTGCGATATGTATTGCAATCTATTGCAAGAAGAGTTTTTTTAACAAAAATTTCTTATAATCAAGGTAAGACTTGATTTGTAAAGCAAAAACTACAAAATCACTATGCTTGATTAAGGTTTAATAAAAACTTTTAGTCATGACAAAATAAAAATGTGAATAATATTTGGCACAAATGAAACAAGGGAAAGAACAATTTAACATCAACACAGTGGTTACTAGTTTGAACTACTTTCTCCACTCTCTAAAAAGTCCCTGAGATTTTAGGTAGCAACTTGACCTGGTCAGGACATATCAGAGATCACTGGTCATTAATGAAAATATTTAAAACATTCAGATCCAAAACATTGCGAAACACCAGAACAAGAATTAAGAACACAACTTCAAACGGGAAATTAACTTGACTTCCGGTGTGAAATACATACCGGTAAATACGAAGTTTTCGCAATGCATGTCAAAATACTGTTTTTTTATCAGCGTATCGCAGTAGGTATCGTTTTCATGTCTGAACTGGTAAATACCGGTAAACCGGTTATATTGCGCAGCCCTAGTGTTGATATCATGAACACCATTACACCAGGAAACACATATGTCAGGTCACACGTTGTAAACCCTTGATCCCCATGTTGTTTTTCTCTGGAATTCCATGTGTCACAAGCAAGCATGCTTTGTGTGTTTGTTATGTGTTTTCACTGATCTCTTTCTATCTGAACATCTGTTAGAACATAAGTGAAAACTTTTTTAAAGTAGAAAATCTATAAGAAAAGGGAAGTAACTCTTTCTATGGTAATTTGATGGCAATAAACTTGTATTACTGGACCGTCTGTTCAGGAATAAATGTGGGATCATCACAAATGGCAGTATAAAAATTGTAAAACTAAAGAAAGTTATTTTGTGAAGTATTAGAAGTGGTTAAACGTTCTTAAATTTGTCTTATCCTGACTCATGATCTTTTGCTTATCTCCCTTTCCTTTTCGTATGGTAGTGGAACACTTGAATCCCTTGAAGTTCCCGAGGCGGACGTAAAAATACACTTACCCACCAGGTTACCTCCCTTTTGCCTTTTTCCCGCGCAAACAGTCATGTGACCAGCCTTACTTATCACTCTCCTTTTCCGCCCAAGTGGATGGTTGGGCGAGCACTGGAGTCGCTTATACGGCATTATATCCTTTTTATTTAGGTCCTATTCTTCAAAATTATGCTGTATATGGATTTGGCAATAACTTCTATGTACTATATGTAAAAAGTTTGTAAAAATTATTTGTATTTGTGTCATAATGTAACTTTGATTACATTTCATGAAATCTTACAGTGTTTGCAGCCACAGGTTATCTGTGGCTGATCGTCATCCCCAGTGCCCTTCATGCATAAAACCATGTTCTTCCAGTTTGTGCTGTACTTATTGTGTTGATTTATCAAATCTCTACAATTTAGTCAATATTTGTCTTATATCTATAGATGTGCCATGGATCGAGTGAGGAAGTCATCTCAAGTCACGGCTGATAAAACAGGAGATCAGCCTGCAAACCGTATGTTGCTTGCTACTGCTGAAGTTCATAATACTGGTGCTGTGTTTAGTGCGTTGCAGGGGCAGAAATCCTTCAATGAAGAGACACTACCTCCACATGAAGTAGGCGTTTTTAATGACCCCCCTGTTTCTTCTACCTGAAGTACCTATGAGATCAGGGACTCAATTGACTTCTACTACTATTAAATTGTCCCCTGCAATGGTCACACCAGGGCCAGCTGTTTGACGAACTACCACCTACTTCTCAACGTAGTGAAGTTGAGGCGCAGAACTCATCAGCATTCGCGAACGCTTCGTCTACACCACAATTCACCAACCAGATGATGGAACGTAGGTTCGAGGAAGAAGCGAAGGCTCGGCGAAGCCTCTCATCTACCGACAGCGTGCGCAAACCTACAGACCTGCGCGAACCTACTCCTCATAGAACTACGTCTCAAGACTACGTTGGCGAACGTACACCTTTGCGAAGGTCTCCATAGTTGGACGACTTTGTCATCTTGGAAGAGGATAGAAGAGATGAGATGCCTACTCACAGTTCTACATCCACGAACCCTCAATGTTCGAGAACATTGAAGGATCCATCTCCTACACCTAGCCGCTTTAGATCGAGATCTCATATCTCTCACAGACGTTCGCGAAGTCACTCATCACGAGACAGGCTCGCGAAGAGAAGGCTCACATCACAGAAGTTCGCGAAGGGATACATCTAGCGACAGACGTTCATGAAGGGATAGCTCACATCACAGAGGTTCGCGAAGAGATGAATATACAGATAGAGGTTCGCGAAGAGAGCACTCTCAAGATAGACGTTCGCATAGGGAGGAATCTTCAGATAGAGGTTCGCGAAAGTATGATGAAGGTTCGAGAAGGGATACAGGTTCGCAGATGAAGCAGACTTCGTCTTCCCAGACTCAAAGGTTACAGAGTGGATTGCCAACAGGTTGAACTTTGAGTCTCCTTCTAAGGATAAAGATGAAGTCTACACTTATATGATGCATAACGTCGACTTCGACTCCGTCACTATCCCTCCGATTGAACCTATATCCAAGGTACCCTCTAACCTAGGCACAGCTTTCTCGAAAGCATCCAAGTACCAGAGTCAGCATCTGCCATCATTTAATGTGAAGAGATTCCCCTTACATCATATGGATCCATTTACAAGGCGCCTGAATGGGATGATAACATAAAGTTAGTCAACGACTCCCGAAACAAGATGTATAAAGTGGAAGATAAAAAGTTATCTCAACTTGATACTGCTTCTTCGGGTTGGTCAGGTCCAGAGCCATCAATGAAGCATTGATCAATAAATTCCAGAACTCAAGTTCGGAAGAGGATAGAATGATATATTCGGCCCTCATAACACAGAAGAAGGACCAATACTTTTTATATGACCATCTGGCATCTATATCTGCAGGTCTCACTTTACTACGCAGACAAGGGCTACTTGCGTCCTGTTCATGGAGTGATAGATTCACCCAACCGCTACTGAGAGCTCCATGGGAGGCGCCTACTATCTTTGTAGGACAAATAGACGATGCAGCTAAGGTAGCTACGCACGACTCTAGAGAAGTTATGATGATAAAATCCATAGATACTCTGGCCAACGTCATCCGTCATACTTCACAAAAGTATAACAGCAAGTCCAAATATTCCGGCATACAGAAGGCAAAGGAGAAGAAGTACCCCAGCTTCAGAGGCGGCAAAGAATGTTTTTGTCGCCCATCCGGAAATTACAGAGGAAACTCAGGGAGAGGCCGCACTCCCAGAGGATCCAGAGGAACTAGACGTTGATATCAAGGTTCGGAACGACTGGAGTTTTCCACCCCCTGCCGTTCCTTTAAAACTGACGACAGTGGGTGGACGTCTACGAAGGTACTGGAAAAATTGGGGAATACTAGAGGACGACTACGTCTCCCAAGTACTAAGAGAAGGATACAGAGTACAACTCAAGGCCACACCTCTGCTAACCCTCAGCCCGATGGTCTTTGACTATGCAGAGGAACAGGCAGACAAGCTACAAGAAGCCATCGACTCACTAGTTATGAAGGAGGCGGTAGAGATAATAGATCAGCATTCCAGGCTTCTATTCCTCAATTCTTCTAGTACCCAAGAAGAACTCCAAGAAGAAGTTCAGACTGATTTACAACATGCGAAATTCAACAAAGACTATCTACTGAAACCGGAGAGGTTCAGAATGATCCACCTACCTCAACTCAGACTACTCGTCCGTCCAGCAGATTACATGGCCAGCATAGACCTGTAGGATGCGTATCTACACATCCCCATACATCCGGAATCAAGATAGTATCTATGATTCCTATTCAGAGGGCAGCACTTCCAATGGAACGTCCTACTGTTTGGAATATCTTCGGCTCCGTGGCTATTCACACGAGTAACCAAGCCTATAGTCGCGCATATCTACATCATTGAGGTCTACACAATGCCTCCTACTTGGACGACAGAATTCAGTTTCACCAAGATGCCAGTCAACTCAGACTACAGCTGAACTTCACAATCAAGTTGCTCACTCAACTAGGATGGCTGGTGAACCTTATGAAGTCAGAGTTGGAACCAAAACAAGATCTGCAATTTCTGGGGATAAGGTTTATCACAACACAGAATCGTATTGTCGTCCCAGAAGATCGTTGGGTCAAGATACAAGCCATGATTCCACCAGCAGTCATCTCTCTGTTAACACTACGATCATGGCAAGTTCTACTCGGCCTACTAACCTCAGTGCAGGACTCGCACAAGAAGGTTACAACTAAGACCGCTGCAATGGTTCCTGACAAAACATCTAGACAGCGTCGACCCTATCTTGCTGCCAGACAACCTCAAGAGGTATCTACTGTGGTGGACGCACAGGTCGAACGTTTGCAGAGGGACCTATTTACAAGAGCCGGCCTTTGACACACATCTCTATGTAGATGCTTCGATGCAGGGCTGGGGTGCGCATCTCAACAATCAAGTTGCATCAGGAAAGTGGTCCAAAATAGAGCAGCATCTTCACATCAATCTGCTGGAGATGAAAGCCGTGATCAACGCCTTACAACTATGGTCGAGCTTGCTGAACAACAGAATGCTGATGGTCCACACGGATAACTCTACATTTGCATTTTCCATAAATCAGCAAGGATCCACAAGGTCTCCAAGCCTGCTACAGCTAACATTTCAATTGTTCCACATCACAGAGGAAGCAAACATCTGGATAAAGTCATGTCGCATACCCGGAGCCAAGAACGTACTGGCAGACGCTCTCTCCCTACCACTGCACCGTTCACCTATGGAATGGATGCTCCATCCAGAAGCGTTCTGGCTCATCATAAGGGAAATAGGATCCCCTTGCATAGACCTGTTTGCCAAGAGGTTCAACAAACAACTACAGACGTTTGTCTCACCAGATCCTCAAGCCTGGGCAACAGATGCAAGGATATCTTGGGAAGAACTAAACGCTTACGCATTTCCACCCCCGATATTACTTCCGGAAGTACTGTTGAAGATCATACAGACACAGGCACTACAACTGACTTTGGTCGCGCCCCACTGGCCAGTGAGAGTATGGTTCCTACACCTAATAGAAGATCTCGGGAGGGCTGCTTTTGGAAGTCAGACACAGTGTTTGCCAACCACTACCTCCAAGACATAGCCACTGAAGACGTCTCAAAGCATTCACCAATTTGGGCTTCTCGTTGTAGCACAGCAATTAACGGTTCCTCAAAGGCGCTGAGTTGGAAAATCTTACCCTTTATCATGTTAACTTGTTGATAACTTTTACTAAGGAAAAAGTATTAGTTTGAAAGTCCATGCGCACAGTCTAGTACAGGCTAGCATGAATGATTAAAGATCCTGTACTGGTAAAGATCTTACCTGTGCGTGAAGAGGTCGCAACTCATTTATGATAAAGATCTTATCATAATCTATGGGTTGTTATGAGATATCTAGTAATAAGAAGATACTAGTTTATCTGTAGCCACATGAATCAACATGATTCAACTTGTCTGAGATGGAAGTAAGACAAGAAAGTGGTACCCCGAGTTATAACGGAAGTTGGAAGAATAGGATCATGGAAATGCCGTTTTGCAGTTCCCATGGGGGGGGGGGGGGGATACAGGATGTATCTAAAGACAGCTGATGACCTTGACCCTCCACCAATCTGTCGGATTTTATAAGCAAAAGATTATGAGTCAGGATAAGAAAAAAATTGTAATTTTTCAAGTAAAATTGATATTTTTATATTTATCCTGACTCATGACGAGAAGCCCTCCCAACCTCCCTGCTGGAGACACTTTGGATTTCACAGCAGATCCAAGTGCATGGGCAGAAAATCAGGAGAAAGTGACAAGTAAGGCTGTTCACATGACTGTTTGCGTGGGAAAAGGGCAAAAGGGAGGTAACTCGTGGGTGAGTGTATTTTTACGTCCTCTTCGGGAACTTCAATGGATTCAAGTGTTCCACTACCATTCAAAAAGGAAAGGGAGATAAGCAAAAGATGATGAGTCAGGATAAGTATAAAAATATCAATTTTACTTGAAAAATTAAATGATTTTTAGATTGACAGTTATATTCGTATTACACTCAGACTAATAGTGTAAAACTAATCATTATCCATATGGTGAAACATAACCAGTGTCATAAATATATGTGCACATGTGCATATATTACTTTTGCCTAGCAAACATTGTTTCTGTGTTTCGTCGTCTGTGACATCATTAAACAATTGAACGTGACGTGACGTCAATGAACTGGGCAGTCACACTTACTTACCATGTTTTACTGCACAAATGCACATGAATAAAATGGATAATAAAGAAATTATTACACTTGCAAGTGTGCCACATGACTTATACAAAACTTGTGCCAATTTCGTATAGGCGGTATAACACACTTGCTCGTGTATTAATCTCTATGTATTATGGGTATTTCTTTTTGTTGGTGAAATATCAGAGAAAGATGAGTCACCTTACGAAACTAAAACATTACTGGACATGGAAGTTTTAGCCAAATATCGGCTTTTGAAAACACCTAGACCAATATTTTTCCAGAAATAAAAAAAAGTTATATTATCGAAAATATGTATGTGGACAAAATTTAAAATGCCGATGGATCACAATGCTCAGTTTCAGGCTTGAGTAAAACTAGACTTGATTTAGATTCTAATTCATTTTTTCTCTTTTTGAGACAGACAAGAGAGGACCCCGATGGAATTAATTGTATGGTAGATAGCATATGTCATCAGCCCATTACACTGTGTTTCAGATCCACAACATGCACTGGTACCGCTCCAGAGGTTAAACCTCCCGATTCCTGTCCGGGTACAACATTACCGCAGTGCCATCATCCCGTGCCTGGTGACAGACCCCTCAATCAACGTCACACTCATCAAGCAGACGGTCAACGAGGTGGTTGACAGTCGCAGTGATGTCACCTACGATCCCAAAGTCGGCTTTACACTCCATTACCCAAATTATTACTTCAACGGGATGTTCTCCTGTGAAGTTGACACTGAATTTTACACAGACTCCATTCAAGCTGTCCTCTTTTACAGCAGTAAGTGTGATTGGAGTAATTTGATTTCCTATGATATAACAGCTGCCATTAGCTCATCTTTCAAATACAGAGCAAGTCAGCTATGTATCAATACTAATGCCCCTGTATTTTAGTTGATTCCATGATGTGTATTATGTGCTGTGTATACCGATTGTGTAACTTAAGGGAGACAACTCTTTTTTACATCAAGTTTAACACATACTAGTACCTTAAGTTTAATATCTAACTTATGCATGACATTTATGATATCTACTAAAGACACTGATAAAAGCCTTTCATGTGTGTTTGAAAAAGACAGAAATTATTCTATCATCATTATCATCATCATCATCAAGGTTCACAACTTATTCAATCGCATCATGTTTCTCCATGACAGGTGCACCATCTACTCCTCATCCCTTCATTGAAATTGATCCGCCAAGCACACGGATTTGGGTCGGACAATCTTTTACACTCACCTGTAAAGTGAAACTGGATCGGGGCCACCAGATTTTCATCAAATGGTTGTTTAATACAAAAGGGGTGAGTTGGTGTTTTTGGGAGAAAAGATGGAGGGAGTTATCTCTCTTGCTCAGGTTAGAGTGGTCCAGTGGTCTGTGATGCTGCTCTTGTCTGTGCAGGGTTACATCTCTATGCCAAACAAGGAAGCAAAGGTCAAGGGTTTGGTTTGATCCTTTTTCTGTCTAAGGGAACATTTACACTATCAGTATCACTGAGAGTTTTCCTCACACACTGAGCTCATTCTGATTGCATACATTGCATCATTCTGATTGCATACATTGATGCTCATGATGTCAATCACTGGATTGTCTGGTCCAGACTTTAAAAATTACAGACCGCCATCATACAGCTGAAATATTGCTGAGTGCAGCTTTAAACAGCCAACATAAACTTTGGTAATTCAAGTGAGTTGCTTTACTAATCTAATAAGCTCTCTCATGAAAAATAGTTGTGTCTTTGTAATGAAAAAAACCCAATTCTTTGGGTTTTGTCTGCAAGAAAACATCATATTTCTATTTTCAGTAAAACAGTATCTTTATTTATATTTTAGGAAAATAGCCAACCACCCCAAACTCCACCCATCCCTGAAAATAAAATATTTTCCCCTAAATTGCATTGTGTTTTTAACTTTTGATTTCTGTAGGTGAAGTCAAACTACTACATTATGAAGCCCCGTAAAGAGCAGATAAGGACTACCAACTATATGTATGACGAAGTCTCAAAACAAATAAAGGTGTATAATGTCGATACGGATGATCAAGGCGTGTATACCTGCCAAACCCAGACAGCCAATCCCCTTAAGAACACAGTATCAAAAATACTGTATGTCTACGGTAAGTGTTGCATCACAGGAAGTGATGATGATCCTGTCCACTTCGCCATATCTCATCTGTAAAACATGTGAGAGTGAATGAGTCTAGTTTTTACATTTTTACAGGGTGAGTGAGGGAATGACATAGAGATACCAGATGTGTCAGTATGAGCGAGTGAGGGAGTATGGTTTTACTTCGATGTTAGCAGTATTCTAGCAATATCTGGAGGGGGACACCAGAAATGGCTTCTTCACACATACATATCTTGGGGAATTAAACATGGATTGGCGTGATGAGAGAGTGAATGAGGCTACCCCACCGCCCCCAACTCGGTAAATAACAACAACTGCTCACCAGAATTTGATGGACATATAGTGCTGATTTCAGGGCCTCCTTTCACAAAGCACTAAGGTGATCGTAAGTCACTGAGGTAACCTTCGTGCAATGTTAAAGAATGGGAGTTAAGGTTAACCTTAGTAAAGGTTGCTTCGTGAAAAGAGCCCCTGGTCTTGGTATGGTTCTGTATATGAATATGGGGTAAAGTTTCATTGGTTTCCATACAATCCTGACGCACAAATGGATGATCATTGGGAAAGAAATAGATCCTGGCTGGATCTGAAATTTTGTTTCAGTCTCCATTGCAACACATCTGAAGTCTTTCTTTGGTTTAAGAAACACCAGTAGTCTTCAATCTTCAAAGGAAAAGATAGGTGTTTGGATAATGTCTTTCTAAAAGATAACTTGATGAATGTTATTTGATTTTGAATGATCAGTATTAAATTGTTATGCAAACAGTGAAGTATTCACATTATCTGACACATGACATATTCAATATGGCCTCCGTTGTCGTCTGCTCCAACAGAGAAATCTGAGGCGTATCTGATGCCGGAGAAAGATGTGGTTGAAACGACACTTGGAAGTGAACAGGCTTTGATCCGAATGGACATGAATGCCTTCCCAACACCTGATTTGTACTGGTATTTCAATGGAAACCTTATCACCAATGAAAGCAACTTCAAGACATAGTAAGTTCTTCTTGGATCATTAGTGGTGTGTTTGTAGACAAATAACCCAACTCTTGTACCTTGATCCTGATGATAATAATAAATATTGGCTGTTTATAAAATGCCTTTTTCCACACACTTGTGCATGTTCAAGGTGCTAACACATTATTACCCCGGATAACCCAAGATACCTAGAAGGTTAACAGTCATTTGCTGCTGGGTGATCAGAGGCAATTCATGAACAAACTCACTTGCCAAGGGTGAGACCACATGTGTCACGTGTGCTTCATTGTGTGGCAGGACTGAAGTCCAAGAACCTCAGGAGCCAAACATGGTCGCCCACCCAGGGACTGTCCGCGACCAACATTGATGAACTTCAACTGATTTGTAACCTGGGCTCTATGCACAGGACCACATACCTCATTGAGGTTTATTTTTACTTTTTATCACTGATCCCATGAAATAATTAATATTTGATGTTGTAGTTAACAAATGATGCCAAGGCTTTATATGCTTCTATCACAAATCTGCTTGTTTATTTTTAAAGTGAAACAGAAAGCGAAGCTGCCTTGCGGATTTTCTTTCCCTCGTCCGTTCATAATGGAAACTACACCCTCCATGCAGTGACTGTGGATATGAATGCCACAGCTAGCGTACTGCTGAAAGTATATGGTGAGTATGTGCATCCTGGACCTAGGCAGGGTTCACAAAGCAATCATAGCGCTACGACTTTCGTATCTCCTATACTTTAACATAGAGTTACGATAGTCATAGCACTACGACTTTCGTATCTCCTATACTTTAACACAGAGTTACGATAGTCGTAGTGCTACGACTATTGTATCTCCTATACTTTAACATAGAGTTACGATAGTCATAGCACTACGACTTTCATATCTCCTATACTTTAACACAGAGTTACGATAGAGTCGTAGTGCTACGACTTTCGTATCTCCTATACTTTAACATAGAGTTACGACAGTCATAGCACTACGACTTTCGTATCTCCTATACTTTAACATAGAGTTACAACAGTCATAGCACTACGACTTTTGTATCTCCTATACTTTAACATAGAGTTACGACAGTCATAGAGCTACGACTATCATATCTCCTATACTTTAACATAGAGTTACGACAGTCATAGCGCTACGACTATCGTATCTCCTATACTTTAACATAGAGTTACGACAGTCATAGAGCTAGGACTATCGTATCTCCTTTACTTTAACATAGAGTTACGACAGTCATAGCACTACGACTATCGTATCTCCTTTACTTTAACATAGAGTTACGACAGTCATAGCACTACGACTATCGTATCTCCTATACTTTAACATAGAGTTACGACAGTCATAGCACTACGACTTTCATATCTCCTATACTTGAACACGACAGTCGTAGCAGGGTCCTGGCTTCACAAACTGTGATTGTATGGGAGTTATTATTTATTGTGAGAGTTGGATTGTTTTAATGACAGTATCATATCTTGTATTTTGGATTACACTTTCGTTGTGAAGTCCGAAAATGGCCACTGTGGCTGAGTCACAGACCTTGTATGCTGGCAACTTCATGTGTCACCCTGAGAGCATGAGGTCAAATCCTGGATGGATCTCAGCCCCCCAGGAGTGATTGAGTATTGTTTTACGCCACTTGAAGCAATGTTCCAGCAATATCACGGCAGGGGACACCAGAAATGGGCTTCACACATTGTACCCACTTGGCTACTCCAACGCCCCATCAGCCCCCATGAACATACTATATTTGTAGTTTTCTAAGAAAGTGTAATCCCAGCTATAAAATCTGTTTCATTTGACCAATCTCTTAAAGACGGTGTGTATTCATGGTTTCAGAACTGCATCATATCTTGCTGACCTCTCACACACACTCACATAAGTACATGTATATTCCATCATATATAAGACTTTATGTATTGTTGAAAATCAGAACTTTGTCAATTCTTCGGCTCTGGTCAACCGTGACACCATTTATCTGAAGATGAAACAATTCACCTTGCACTGATACACTGTGATATTGACCCGTGAAGATCCGGGTTAGGATTGATCTTCAGTAACCCATGCTTGTCGTAAGAGGCGACTAACGGGATCGGGTGGTCAGGCTCGCTGACTTGGTTGACACATGTCATCGTATCCCAATTGTGTAGGTTCATGCTCACGCTGTTGATCACTGGATTGTCTGGTCCTGGATGGATTGTTTACAGACTGCTGCCATATAGCTGGAATATTGCTGAGTGTGGAGTTAAATGACAAACAATCAATCAATCAATCAAGTAATCAGATTATCCTAAACAAGTGTCAAATTTTTTATCCCTTATTCCTTCTGATGTTTCCAGGACCACTCACAGCAACCCTCTCTGCTAATTCTGACTACAAGTTCTTCACAGTGGGTGAGAAGTACAGTCTAGTGTGTCAAACCTGTGGCTACCCGACTGGAAACATCACCTGGTACTATCAGGACTGCAACTCCACTTTGTGTGCAGTGGATGAAAGCAACTGGACGTTCGTACAGCGGAAAAACTTATCCATGTATAGCGCCATACCGGTGGTAGCAAACACAACAGGAGTCTATCGTTGTGATGCCAAAAATACCATTGGGGGTGAACACAAGGATTTTAAGTTCATTGTTACCGGTGGGTCTGTTTTGATGTTTTTTCTTTGTGTGTGATGAAGTAATCGCCTTTAAATACATGACAATTTGATAGGATTGAAAGTGAGTTGCCGTATCTGAAACGTTTGCTGCATAACTTGGAAAGTTGACATGGAAATGATATTTGATCTGCAAGGAGTTATAGTGAAACAGTATTTGGTCTTTGGGCAATCTTATAGGGCTTACTCACTCTCAGAAAAGTGTATCTGATTGTTGCCACATCTTTATCTCCATAGGGGCAATGTTTTAATGAGTTCTGAGAGCATATTTTAATGATGTATATTGGTTAATCCTCAGACCAACTTCCCAGCAAAACTGGCATCAAGATCACCTCAAGCAAAGACAAGGTCGTCAAGGGAGACAATCTGAAACTTGAATGCATAGCCAGTATCTGGAACTACAAGAAAATAAGCTTTCCCTGGACACCATCAGCTTTGGCATTGTATAGCAACAGCTCCTTGGTGGATAACACAACAGACACAACTCTGTTGAACACAACTGTTGCGTTAAATACTTCTACAACAGATGTAGCTGCGACCACAGAGAGCCCAAGGATACAGATATTTGAATCAAGGTATGCACTCACACACACCAACATTTATCAAGTTGTAATATGGATAAGAAGCTTTATTCTTGTTGACACAATACATCCCAAAGTCATGATCAACATCTTATGAGTGCTATTTGCTACAGTTGAAAACACCCCTTTATGAAATAGTGAGTGAGTGAGTATGGTTTTATGCCACTTTAGCAATATCACATCGGGAGACACCAGAAATGAGCTTCACACATTGTACCCATGTGGGGAATTGAACCCAGGCCTTCGGCATGACAAGCCAATGCTTTAACCACTAGGCTACCCCACCTGCAGTCAAACACTGTTGAATCGAAGTTGAAGGACTCACTCACTCACTGTCCAAAGCCATGTCAAATTATCATTATGAATGTTATTTGCCTCCTTTGAACCACCTTGTATATGTATTCCTTTATTGATCACCATTTTGCGATTGTGCTGTACCTTAGATAACGGAAAGTATTCATACAGGTGCTTTCAGCTTCGACACAACAGGGGCGGTGGGGTAGCCTAGTGGTTAAAGCATTGGCTCGTCATGCCGAAGACCCGGGTTCGAATCCCCACATGGGTATTTCTGGTGTCCCCCACCGTCATATTGCTGGAATATTACTGTAGTTGTCTTTTCTTTGTGTACCTGGGAAGATAGAATTGGTCTTCAGCAACCCAAGTTTGGTGTAAGAGCCGACTAACTTAATTGGGTTGTCAGATTCGCTGACTTGGTTTACACATCATTGTATCCCAATTGTGTAGATCAACGCTCGAACTGAGGATCACTGGATTGTCTGGTCCAAATTCGATTATTTACCGACTGCACCATATACCTGGAATATTGCTGAGTGCGGCGTTAATCAACAATCCTCTTAATGTCCTGTTATATTTGTTTTAACAAGGTTGCAAAGGGTTAATATGAATCATATTCACAGAATCTGTTTTTACTTGATGAGCTCTGAAACTTGAGTAGAAATATGTAGATTCTGCAAGTAGAAACAGCTTGATTAGCTTTGCGACACTGATACAAAGTATAGATTTGGTCTGAGTGATGACCTTGACATTGTTTCAGAACGGAGTACTCCTTTGTGAGGACGATATTGTTCCACTCACTTCTGCCAGAAGATGAGGGTCTCTACTTCTGCAATGGGACCAACTTTACTCTAGGTGTTACGGCAGACATTTATGATCTGACTCTCTCTCGTGAGTATCTTCTCCTGACATGTCTGTGTATGTAGTGTGTATGAAGGTAACATGGTCAGTCTTTCAGATCAACATATGTGTACTATTTTCTTGTTATGAATGTGTTGATATTTTTATGGCAGAATAGTGGTTTTGTGTGTTCTCATTGCTGTTTGTGTGATCTCATTTATATGTTTGTGTGGTCTTATTGATGTGTTTGTGTAGTCTCATTGATGTGTTTGTGTGATCTCATTGATGTGTTTGTGTGGTCTCATTTATATGTTTGTGTGATCTCATTGATGTGTTTGTATAGTCTCATTTATATGTTTGTGTGGTCTCATTGATGTATTTGTGTGATCTCATTGATGTGTTTGTGTGATCTCATTGATGTGTTTGTGTGGTCTCATTGATGTGTTTGTGCGATCTCATTGATGTATTGTGTGTTCTCTCATTGTTTTGTGATCTCCTTGATGTTTCTGCAATCTCATTGATGTGTTTGTGTGATCTCCTTGATGTTTCTTCGATCTCATTGATGTGTTTGTGTGATCTCATTGATGTGTTTGTGTGGTCTCATTGATGTGTTTGTGCGATCTCATTGATGTGTTTCTGCGATCTCATTGATGTGTTTGTATGATCTCATTGATGTGTTTGTATGATCTCATTGATGTTTATGTGATCTCTGTGTTGTGATTGTGTGATTTCACTGATGGTATTTGTGTGATCTCATTGATGTGTTTGTGTGTTCTCTTTGATGTGTTTGTGTGATCTCAGTGATGTATTTGTGTGATCTCCTTGATGTGTTTGTGTGATATCAGTGATGTTTGTGTGATCTCAGTGATGTTTGTGTGTGATCTCAGTGATGTGATCCAGTGTGTGTGATCTCAGTGAGTGATCAGTGATGTTAGTGTGATCTCAGTGATGTCAGTGTGATCTCAGTGATGTGTTTGTGTGATCTCAGTGATGTTTATGTGATCTCAGTGATGTTTGTGTGATCTCAGTGATGTTTGTGTGATCTCAGTGATGTTTGTGTGATCTCAGTGATGTTTGTGTGATCTCAGTGATGTTTGTGTGATCTCAGTGATGTTGATGTGATCTCAGTGATGTGATGATCTCAGTGATGTGATCTCAGTGATGTTTGATCAGTGATGTTTGTGTGATCTCAGTGATGTTTGTGTGATCTCAGTGATGTTTATGTGATCTCAGTGATGTTTGTGTGATCTCAGTGATGTTTATGTGATCTCAGTGATGTTTATGTGATCTCAGTGATGTTTGTGATCTCAGTGATGTTTGTGATGATCTCAGTGATGTTTGATCATGTGATCTCAGTGATGTTTATCTCAGTGATGTTTATGTGATCTCAGTGATCTCAGTGATGTTTGTGTGATCTCAGTGATGTTTGTGTGATCTCAGTGATGTTTATGTGATCTCAGTGATGTTTATGTGATCTCAGTGTGTGATCTCAGTGATGTTTGTGTGATCTCAGTGATGATCTTGGATGTTTGTGTGATCTCAGTGATGTTTTATGTGATCTCAGTGATGTTTGTGTGATCTCAGTGATGTTTATGTGATCTCAGTGATGTTTGTGTGATCTCAGTGATGTGTTTTGTGATCTCAGTGATGTGTTTATGTGATCTCAGTGATGTTTGTGTGATCTCAGTGATGTTTATGTGATCTCAGTGATGTTTGTGTGATCTCAGTGATGTTTATGTGATCTCAGTGATGTGTTTGTGTGATCTCAGTGATGTTTATGTGATCTCAGTGATGTTGTGTGATCTCAGTGATGTTTATGTGATCTCAGTGATGTTTATGTGATCTCAGTGATGTTTGTGTGATCTCAGTGATGTGATCTCAGTGATGTTTGTGTGATCTCAGTGATGTTTATGTGATCTCAGTGATGTTTTGTGATCTGTAATGATCTCAGTGATGTTTGTGTGATCTCAGTGATGTTTGTGTGATCTCAGTGATGTTTATGTGATCTCAGTGATGTTTGTGTGATCTCAGTGATGTTTGTGTGATCTCAGTGATGTTTATGATCTCAGTGATGTTTGTGTGATCTCAGTGATGTTTATGTGATCTCAGTGATGTGTTTATGTGATCTCAGTGATGTTTGTGTGATCTCAGTGATGTTTTTGATCTCAGTGATGTTTGTGTGATCTCAGTGATGTTTATGTGATCTCAGAGTGATGTGCTTATGTGATCTCAGTGATGTTTGTGTGATCTCAGTGATGTTTATGTGATCTCAGTGATGTTTGTATGTGTTTACATGATCCACCTCTATTTCTATTTGTGTGATTCAGCCATCAAGCCCCCTGTCCTACTGGATCATACATCGGGGGAGTACAACATTAAGCAGTTGTCATCCTTCTTCCTGGACTGTGCCTTTGATGGATTCCCTAACCCCCACGTCTCCTGGTACAAGGATGGTGTCAAGCTCAAGGCCAACAACACCCTCAACATCACCTTTACATCCTTCATGAAGTAAGTCATACACTAACTCTTTTTCCAGTAAATGTTTTTCGCTTTACATGCTGTATGTCATGAGTGAGTGAGATGGGTTTGACGCCGCTTTTAGAAATATTCCTGCAATATCATGGCGGGGGACATCAGAAATGGGCTTCACACATTGTACCCATGTGAGGAATCGAAGCCTGGTGTTAAGCATGATGAGCGTATGCTTTAACCATTAGTCATAAGGAAATATAGTGTGAAGTTCCTTATACATAAAACACTCTGCATAGACTGAATGAATGACTGAAAGAAATTTCACCTTCTCTTCACTATCACACAAACCATCATTTTTATTATTATTATTTTTATTTCACAAATGATTATGTAGTTACATGCAGAATTAGCATGGCATGATGTGCACACCGTCCAATATTAGCTTCCTGTTCTGGACAGTTCCTTCCTTGTTGCTATGACAACAACCTCCCTATGTCGTAAAATCCGCTCCAAGTCTACAAACTTTTCGAAAACATCTAAAGACACATCTATTTGAAATGAAATAGACTCACCTGCACAAGCGCCTGTGAGCAGTCTAGCTGGAACTCGGCGCTATAGAAATAGATTATTATAATTATTATTAAATATCACAGGCATGTAATTGTTCGTTACAAAGCTTAATCCCTGTGTTTTGTGATGGCATTTTTTTTATCTTATTAATGGTGTTTGTGTGATCGGGGGCATCCTGCGAGGCCAACGTGTACCAAATAGACATGCCGAGAGGTGCGCCAGGCAGACCTGCCGGTGTCTTTTGAAGTAATTAACGCCAATCGTCATTGTTTTGACTGTATGGGGGTCGTCTCACCATTTCAGGGAATTAAGCTCACCACTTACTGAATACATTGATTGTAGTTCACCGCTTTAGTTTAAAAAACATGCTCACCACTACTGAATTTACTTTGGAAAGTAGTGAACACTTTTCACAAAGAGTATAGATATATACACTCCGTCCCACCGTGGAGGAAGAGTATGGAAATTTGGACACCCGCTTCTTAACCCTCAAGGAGAGACTTCAGACTAACTGCATCAATACAATGCAGTCCGTGGACGAAGTTGCTATATGTTTGCACTTTGAATGATATGACTTGCATGGATTGTATGGATTGTATGAATTGTGTGAATTTATGAATTGTGATTGATTAATTGAAATGCATGAAAAGTGATGAAAATATATATATGAAATATATGTATGGTGCTTAAAATAAATGTATGTAATGTATGAGCATTATTTAAAATGTAATGTATTGTATGAAGAGTGCTTGTAAATTTTTTAAGTAATAAATAATAAAAATAAATAATTGAACGATCAAGTGTATAAAATGTACATATTTGTGTGATGATGTAATGAAAATATAATATACTGTAAATACATGCATCATCTTGCCAGTCGTAAATAACTATTCCCCCAACAATTTTTGGACATGTCCCCCAGATTTAATCCCCCATTGCTATTGTTTTGCTAATCCTTTTTAATTTGGGTAAAATGTTGTGCCAGGCCGACATGCTAGAGGGGGCTGAAACCCAGATATTAACCCGATAGTCGGCCTGGCTGTACCTCGCCGTGTGATCTAACTGATGTATTTGTACGTGTTTACAAGTGACAGCAGTGATGATAGTTTTAGGGTTGTGTTACATTGTTGTGTTTGTGTTGTAGCGCACGTCTCTCAATCGATGAGGCAACCAAGATCCATGCCGGTTATTACTACTGCGAAGGAGAAAACTATGGCGGGAAAGTACAGAGTTCCAATATCACCTTGCTTGTTGGACGTAAGTTACTAATTGTAATATATGTATAATGTAACATGAGACAAGGTGGGGTGAAGTGTGGTTAAAGGTGTATTCAAGAGTATTTCACTTTTATATCAACATGGCTGCTCATGTGTATGTGGCTACTTGTTCTAGTCCACAGGGGTGGAAATAACTTTAAAATTGCTAGTGTACTCCGGTACAGTGGCACATGTAAAATCACTTGCCCTGATCATTTTTCCACTATACCAGCCATTCTTTGTTGATTTTTTAAACAAACAACATAATTAACATTGGAAATCAACTGGACACCGGTACAGTGTGATATACAAATTTGCTTGCCCGACAGAAAAAAACAGTGGACTCGGACTTCGGGCAATGGGTTATTTCCACCCCCTGATAACACTCTTGCTTGGCAAAGGAATAAGAATCTATCCCGAAACCTCACATCATATATAATAAAGGAGTTGTTATCCATAAAGTATCTTACATTCTGTAGAAACCAGTTCCATTTCAATTTGAGTACAGTACAAATAATACTTTATTTTCAGTACAATTCTGTCATTCGCTTTCCAATAGGCATGTCATTATTTGTTTTCCAGAAAAAGTATTGTCAGGTTTTACTGGAATGCATATTGGAATTGTTGTTGGCGTCGCTGTCATCATTGTCATCATCCTCATCATCATCATCATCAAGGTCAAGAGCATGAAGGCAGGCTATGTAAGTATTTATTGAGGGAGAGGCATCAATTGGTGGTCATGATATGGTTGCCATCATGACTAAAATTTTCAGTCATTCAAAGGGTGCAGTGAAAACAATCTTACATTATTTTTGCTCTAAAGAAACATTTTCTTATCATGTTTTATTCCTACAATTTTTGGGAAAGGGCAGTAACTTGGGGTGATGGCACCATTGTTATATGTACTGCTGACATCCTTAAAACATGTGGATGTATACTATGTGTGATCATACAAAATATTGCTGTTTTCAATTTTTGTTCAATATTTTAGACTAACATGCTATTTTGTTGTCATCTTTTTATGGCATGTCATATGCTAAATTTGTCAGTATATCACATGGTAATTTTTTAACAACATACGACATAGCTCTGTTAAATCAGTGGTAAATATTTGTCAACATACGGCATTGCTCTGTTAGATCAGTGGTAAATATTTGTCAATGTACGGCATTGCTCTGTTAGATCAGTGGTAAATATTTATCAATATACAACACTGCTCTGTTAGGATGGTGGTAAATATCTATCAGTATACAACACATGTTCTGTTTGTAGCACAAAGAGTTGGAGCAATGCCTGATGCAACCCAAGGGAGACTACAACCCAGACCTGCCCATAGACGAGCAGACGGCCTGTCTCCCGTATGACCCCAAATGGGAATTTCCTAAAGACAGACTTCGTCTTGGTATGTTGGTTGTCATTCTGTGGTATCACTTTATGTTCAAGACTGCAGGGTAGTCCCATGGTTCAAGCTGACATTTTGATGCCAGGGTTTGATTCCTCACATGGTAATATTAATATGGTATTGCTATAACTATACTCATTCTCTCCTTCTGATATACAATTACTGTGTAAAGCAATGAATGAAAAAAATATGTACAATATTTTAGTATTCTGATTTCTGAAAGCTTTGCCATAAAGACTGTGATATGAGGTTTTAACCATACAGTCACCCCTGCCAATATATAGCAAAACCTTCAGAATTAAAATTCCATTAGGTAAGATATATTATACTGAGGGAATCAAAGAAGGGAATACCACTTCATGGCAGTGTTCCTTTATTTATTCACAGATTTCCTCCCACAGCGTTATTCAGAGCTGAATATTAAATGAACGCATGAATTTTCCTGTGTTCCTTTTTTGTTTCTCTCAGTATATTTTAGAAATCAGCACTTTGGACTAATATGGGCACTCAAACATATTTTGGACATTGGACTATAAGAAAAAGCCACTTATGATCAGAGGATAATATGATGTCCTGTATTATGTATGGTATGAAAACGATCACATAGGGATTAATTTAGACTTGCTCAGAGTCCTATACTCATCTCCAAGTCTGCACCAAATGTCATCTGGGATCCCCAGCATGGAATTACAAAGGACAAATTCATGTTAAATAGTCATAACTAATGTAATGTCTGTGTAGAGTTGACTAGTATACCAGTGATAAAAATTGAGTAAAATATATTTTTTTTAATCACATGCCAAGGAATGCTGCATATATCCCTTTATACAATTTACTAGTTGTGGTGTGGCCTAGTTTCTGTATGAATTGCATCCCTTTGGCATGACAGGATTCAGTGATTGTGGTTCTGATCCCAGATTTGCTGCGATTATGATCTGTGGTTTGTCAACACCAATTTCCATGATTATGTCTTTCATCAATATCTGTTAGTCCTCAACAGCTTTAGCATTTTACCAGCATGACTTAATATAACAGAAATATTGTATATATATTCATCTCCCCACTCATTCATGGACTTGTCCAAACAGGTATGATCCTCGGTCAGGGAGCTTTTGGTCGGGTGATGAAGGCAGAGGCCATTGGTATCATGGATTGTGAAGATGTGTCTATTGTGGCAGTCAAGATGGTCAAAGGTAAGATCTTGTTTGGAGGCAGTCGAATCTCACGTTGGAATGTAATCAACTTGGGTCTTCAGTATTGTTAGGCTCTACCACTAGGTAGCCTTGTTTAAGAAGAATGTCACAGTCTTTGTCAGTAGTATTAATAAATTTACACCTAATTCTCTTAAACATTGGTCCCTGCCTGGCGCTCGGCATTAATGGGTACAACAAGGACTGGTCGGCTCGGAGTCAGTATAATGTGTCTGAGTGGGGTATTCATGCTTCACTGCGGCATGGTATCTCAGTGGGCTAGTACTATAAAACCAGCTTAAGTCCGGGCTAGTACAAGCAGCTGCACATACACATACACACGCATGCACGTTGTCATATGAGCGAAATATTCTCAAGCACGACGTTAAACTCAATTTCACCTCACCTCACCTCTAAAACATTACTTCTGTGTCATTTGGACTTTCCTGTGCACATGAAGCTGACAGGTCTGATATATCTATAACACTGTTCAAGGCATCACCCAAAGCACTGCTGGGTCTAAGAAGCCTCAATACACAATTCTCACATGGTACACAAACGACTAGTAAAGGCCTTTAAACGTAAGGCTTCATCGAGGTAATGATGTCCTGAATTAAGAACCCTATGTTTTGGCAGATGACCTTGTTAGATAGATTATGCCAAACTTACATTCCTTCTTGTGTTTCAATCCAAAGATATGGGTTAAAACTGGTCTTCACTAACCCATACTTGTCTTCCCCTTGAAGATCAGGGTTAGAATTGGTCTTCAGTAACCTATGTTTGTCACCCCTTCATGAAGATTTGGGTCAGAATTGATCTTCTTGTCTTCCCCTTGAAGATCAGGGTTAGAATTGGTCTTCAGTAACCTATGTTTGTCACCCCTTCATGAAGATTTGGGTCAGAATTGATCTTCTTGTCTTCCCCTTGAAGATCAGGGTTAGAATTGGTCTTCAGTAACCTATGTTTGTCACCCCTTCATGAAGATTTGGGTCAGAATTGATCTTCTTGTCTTCCCCTTGAAGATCAGGGTTAGAATTGGTCTTCAGTAACCTATGTTTGTCACCCCTTCATGAAGATTTGGGTCAGAATTGATCTTCTTGTCTTCCCTTGAAGATCAGGGTTAGAATTGGTCTTCAGTAACCTATGTTTGTCACCCCTTCATGAAGATTTGGGTCAGAATTGATCTTCTTGTCTTCCCTTGAAGATCAGGGTTAGAATTGGTCTTCAGTAACCTATGCTTGTCACCCCTTCATGAAGATTTGGGTCAGAATTGATCTTCTTGTCTTCCCCTTGAAGATCAGGGTTAGAATTGGTCTTCAGTAACCTATGCTTGTCACCCCTTCATGAAGATTTGGGTCAGAATTGATCTTCTGCAACCCATGCTTGTTGTGTAAGCAGCTTACATGATTGAGTGGTGATGCACACAGACTTCCGTCATTACCAAAAGAGCACTGAGTTTTTATCAGGAAGCTGCCATTCCAGCATCTTCATTTATTAGTGAAGTCTGGAAATAATGACCTGTGCTGTTGAATGAGCCGCTAATGTGATCGGGTAGTGACGTTCACTGACTTCATTGACGCATGTCATCCCTATTGTGTAGATCAATGCTTGTGATGTCATTCACTGGATATTCTGATCTCTACGCGAACATTGACACAAAGAGATTGATGGAATATTGCTGAGTGTGGCATTAAACCTCAAACAAACAAATGTTGTTGATGTTGCAGACTGCACTGATCGGGAACAAATGATGGCTCTGCTGTCAGAGCTGAAGATTCTCATCCATATCGGTCAGCATCTTAATATTGTCAACCTTCTCGGAGCTGTCACCAAGAATATTCGCTTTGGTAAGTACACCATACTGCTTTCCCAATTAAAATATAAGTTGTGACACATCACTAAACGAGATGAACAGAACAAATGGTCTTTGCTATGTATTTTTAGTGATAAAAAATGTCTCAAAACATAGTATGCATGAGGCAGACAGAACATAAGAACATTTCGAAAATTACTAATGAGCTGTGAAGAGGATTATCTGTCTGAAGTAATTATGAGCCTTTCGGGGAGTGATTTAAAACATTTATTAACTGATGGCAAATAATCTGTAGTTCGTGTTCGAGGAGGTTATTCAGTTTTTTATTAATTGACATTCATATCAACTGACGTAACATAGCAACCCTACGTAGAAACAGCACTGAAGGCTGCTTATTGTTTAGATGATGTAATGTGATGTAATGTTATCATGTTGTATCATTTTTTATCAGCGAAGCACTGTGAGTGAGTGAGTGAGTTTGGTTTTACGCCGCTTTTAGCAATATTCCAGCAATAACGCTTTAACCACTAGGCTACCCCACCGCCCCGTGAAGCACTGTGAGCTTATATGGCTTCATCAGACCAATCAGCTTTGAGAATATTTACAATGTCTTGAACAATTGTCAGAAATTTATTACACAATCATTCTACACTTTAGGTAGTACATGTATACAAAAGGCTTCTTACATCCTGTAACTTTGGGGAAACTGTTGACAGGTGAACTGTATGTTCTTGTGGAGTACTGCCTGTTTGGAAACCTGCGTAACTACTTGATCAAGAACAAGTCTTCCTTCAAGGACACAATGGAGGAATACACAGACCCTGCCCTGGAAAAGAAGCGTCAGGCTCAGAACGAGAAGCCAAAGCCCTATTACGTCAACAAGGCTGCTCTCCCGGAAAACAGCGCCGATCTGATTGGTCCAGCACTCACAACAAAGAATCTGATTTGCTGGGCATTCCAAGTTGCACGAGGCATGGAATACCTGGCATCCAAGAAGGTTAGGAGAATATTTATCTCCCTTCTGTCATTGCTTCTTTGTATCAACTACTTGCTGAAGAACTAATTCTAGTTCCTCAAGTCCTTGAGAAGCTTCCACCGTGAGGATCTTGGTAGCTAAGTGGGCTCTATTGCTGCTTTTGTGTGCTGGCAGTTTGGGTCTCTGAATGGGACTAAACTAAGATAGTCCTAGAATTTGTATTTTTCTAAGATAGTAAACTCCCAAATATAACATTCACTGAAATATTTGGATAAATGCTCATTGTGCCTGGTCTTTGACAGAAGAACGAGGACTATTTTAATGGCTATACAATTTCTTTATTCTATATAGGCGACGTTTCGACATAGATTCTAATGTCGTTGTCACTTGCTTGATATAGAATAAGGAAGTTGTATATTCATAAAAATAGTCCTCATTCTTCATCTACCCAACTTCTAGAATGCCAGTCAAAGAAGTCATACATTGTCTTTGACAACCAATCACCATTTGTTCTGTTAAGATTTACATTTTTTAATTCAAAGATTTGAAAAGTTCTTTTTACGATTGTTTTGTACAATGACTGCTTTTTCTCAAACATATTGTGTAGATGGTATGTATATGCTGGTCCTGATGTGTTTCAGTACATCCACCGTGATCTGGCAGCTCGGAATGTGTTACTTGGGGAGGACAATGTGGTCAAGATCTGTGACTTCGGCCTGGCCAAGGACTGCTATAAGGATGCTGAATACAAGAAGAAGGGGGATGTGAGTGCAGACTGTTGTCCACAGTTTATATCACTGGATTGTCTGGTCCAGATTATTTACAGACTGATGTCATATAGCTGGAATATTGCTTAGTGTACCTTTAAACTACAAAATACAACCAACTACTCTGTGAGGTGAGGTGAAATTGGGTTTAACGTCGTGCTTGAGAATATTTCGCTCATATGACGACATGCATGCGTGTGTATGTGTATGTGCGGCTGCTTGTACTAGCCCAGACTTAAGCTGGTTTTATAGTGCTAGCCCACTGAGATACCATGCCGCAGTGAAGCATGAATACCCCACTCAGACACATTATACTGACTCCGAGCCGACCAGTCCTTGTTGTACCCATTAATGCCGAGCGCCAGGCAGGGACCAACAAGTACCATATTTTAACGTCTTTTGGTATGACGCGGTCGGGGATCGAACCCGCGACCTTCCGCTCTCCGGGCGGACGCTCTAACCACTACACCACGGAGGCGGTCTACCAACTACTCTGTACAATGGGCATGAGAGGTAGAGTCATCTGAGATGAAGCAGGTTTGCTGTGGAGAGTTGCATCCGTTAGCCATGTCTTATTCATGGGTTTGAATCCCTGAGTTGTCCTGGTAAGGATTATTTATCTCTGTCCTGTGAGACAATGGTTTTTGACCATTGTGATTGTGGGAGCATAAGAACACGTTTTGATGTGGTACCAAGATCAGTGGATTTAGGGTGAACAAGATTTCACTGTTTGACAATTCTTCATTAGAACATGACAGCTTTATTTACAAATATCAGGACATGACATGCTTGTATGTCTTCCTTCAGTGGATATTTGTGGATAAGATGGATGACATATCCCTGATACAAATTTGTGTTTGGTCTTGCGGGGATGAAACCAGCAGCTTCTCAAGAATACTGATATGTTTCAGTGAATGAATAGTAGTGTAGATGCATGGTAGATTTTTCAGTTCCCGACAGTGACTGCTTGACTACTCTGTTTGTATCCAACTGAGTGAGTGTTTGGGTTTGCAGGGTCCAGTTCCGGTCAAGTGGATGGCTCTGGAGTCCTTCACTCACAGGATCTACACAACTAAGAGTGATGTGTAAGTGAACATTAGTTTATCTGAACACCAAGGAAGTGCCAGAAGAATATGTGCCAGATCCTCTATAGGCATCAGTTATTGGTATAGGGTGGCTGGAACAGACTGATGACTAGTGGTGCTGTCACTATCAGGGGCAGATCCAGAGAGGGCTGTGGGACTGCACACACACACGCACGCACGCACGCACGCACACACACACTGTTCCTTGAGGAGCATTTCCCCATACCTTTTGAATTTCATGATTTATGTTGTAAGGTCTTCAGGCCCACATAGCACACAACACAGATGTACGAATACGAGACGTTTACTTGACAAAGACAAAGACGAGACTGATTACAATTGAAAACTGATCCCCTGTAACAGTCTATGACTCCACGTGGAGGAGCATGCTATTGTTGAGGATCGTTGCGTTTGGGCGAGGCTGAAAATACCGGGGACAACCTCAAAATGTGAAAAACCCTTTCCCCCCCTTTCTCCAAAATCTTGGATCCACCCTTGACTATTCTGTAGGGTTTTTTTGTAATGTAAAAACATTTATTTTTCCTTATCCTGACTCATAATTATTGCTTATCTCCCTTCTCCTTCGACGGTCAAGTGGAAACCTTGAATCCTATTCAAATTCACTGAAGCGTCCGTACAATCACTCACCCTGAGTTACCTCCCTTGCTCCCGCCAATACCGGTCCCACGTGACCCGAGACTAGCTGTTATGACTCTCTCCTTCATCGCCCTCACCGGTCAGGCGGTCCTTACGGGTCCTATTTGCGGCAGATATCCTTTCATTTTGTTTGTGACGATTTATCTGTAGAAGGGTTCGTCTTTTTATCATAAAATTACATTTATGAATCAAATATAAAATGAGATGTACATATATTATGGAGTGAATAAATGTGCACATGTTATAATAAAAGTTTATTAAACCTACTGTTATTCATTTCAGATGGTCATATGGAATCTTTATTTGGGAGCTGTTTTCATTAGGTAAGACTTAGCATCAATGGATGCGTGTCTTAATATATTTGGTCATATAAACTGATTGGTCTGTTATCTGTAATAATGGTGATTTAATATAGTCATGTAATAAGAGACAGCTAGCCATGTGATAAGAGAGAGTTCGATAACTTGTAACATGATTTATGTTGTTTCCACCTTAGGAGGGAACCCCTACCCAGGTGTGGAGATCAACGAGAAGTTCATAGGACTGCTCAAGTCTGGCTATCGTATGGAGAAACCTAAATATGCCTCCGATGAGTTGTAAGTATCACACGTCTCTCATGATGTTGATGTACCTCAGTCACCACTCATCAGTCAGTCGTGTGTGTGTGTGTGTGTGTGTGTGTGTGTGGGTGGGTGGGTAGTCCTAACGGTTAAAGCATCCGTTCATCATGACGAACACATCTGATGCCCTAATGGTTACAATGCATCAAACCATTTCTGAGGTCCCCCACTGGAATATTCCCAAGACGACTAAACCATACTCAGTCAGTCACTAAAGACTCATAATGCAGAGATATGGCAGGGTCGGTCAAAAAGCATGTGTCAACAATCAAAGTATTTGCCATTAGTTCTTGTCTATGTGACTGTTTCACTGATGTGCATGAGGGTCTCAACGTCTTAGGAAACCATCTACTTAAAGTTTGATTCTAACATGACTGACCCGTGAAAATCCGGGTTAGAATTGATCTACAGCAACCCATGCTTGTCATAAGAGTGAGTGAGTGAGTTAATATTTAACGTCACATCGGCAATATCTCAGCCATATCGTACGAACTTGTCATAAGAGGCAACTAACAGGATCGAGTGGTGAGGCATGCTGACTTTGTTGACACGTCATCATATCCTAATTGCATAGATCGATGCTCATGCTGTTGATCACTGGACTGCATGGTCTGGTCTAGACTTGATTATTTACAGACCGCTATAATATGCAGAAGTAGTATGAACAGGGTTTTCTGTTATGTTGAAAATGATGAAAATGGTTGTCCGACTTTTATGCAGATTCAAGATTATGGAGTTATGCTGGCATGATGACCCCAATATGCGGCCATCTTTCTCAAGCCTTGTGTCGTCAATGGGAGATTTCCTAGAGGCTAATGTCAAACAGGTGAGGAAAAGAAGAAATCTGCATTAAATTCATGGATTCTATATTGCATGGGGATTCTATACATTGTTTACCCCATGGGATTCCATATCACATTTACCCAGTGGTGATTCAACAGTTTATCAACCTTTTAGGGATTCCATAGATTATTTATCCCCAATGGATTGTGTGCATTATTTACCAATGGGATTCCATGTAACATTTACTCAGTGGGGATTCAACACATTACTGACATTTAGAGCTTTCATGGATTATTTGTTTTGTGGGAATTCGAAGTCAGAAATAGGTCACAATGTGAGAACTTAGAGTATGTAAATTAAACATAATAAAATATGTCATAAATATTAAAATCCTATGAAAAACTTGTATTTGTTGAAATTGTGGAAACCAGAACTTCTGGTGGTTAAGTTGTACACATGCAATTGTTGATTGCTTATTCAATCATAAATTTAGTTGCTGTGTGTTTTTTGTATGGCTTTCACTAAACCATAGTCTGTTGTCCTTCCAGTACTACCTTGACCTAAATACTACATATGTGAAGATGATCGATGAGACTGGAACAACAGCTGCTGCAGGTGGCGCCACCGCTGATGGGTATTTAAAGATGAACGGGTCACCCGACTACACTCCTATGTGTCCAAGTCTAGCTGAACCAGAGTCCACCAGTCTTTCTGACCACGAGGATAACGAAGCCAATCGGTACATGAATCAGAAGATGTGGCGGAAAGAGAAGTCAGAAGAATACGAGCTGACACCCCTTCATCGGCCGCATGGAGACACGTGCAAGGAGAACGGTAAAGCGAGATCCGAGTCCCCAGTTCAGTTCCACACACAAGCCGACGTCCACAACCCTGAGGACAGCGACAGTGGTCACTCCAGCAGCTACGCACCAGGGTCATCACCGGTGGAAAACAATGGCTACCTTGTGCCAAAGGCCCTGGACAGTGAGCCCCTGGTGTACCCAATGGCTAAACCAAAGCCAATACCAAGCCAGGTGAACAACTACCCTCACAAGGAGAACTGCAGCAACGAGTCCGTGTGTACATGTAGTTCAAGTGGGTTTGACTCGGACTATCGTGATGTGCCTCCACCAGATTACACTGCAGTCATGGAGGACGCATGCAGGCACTGAAAGCCAATCGGATGTTAAAAGACAGAAGACATACTGTAAAGAGAGACTATCTTCAAAGGGAGATAACTCAGTGAGAGTGAGACAATCAGGGAGAGACAAACGTGTTATGATGAGCTTCACAGCTTTGTGTGAATGAAAGTTCTGGAGGATGACGTGTTGATATTGAAACACATAGACGATGATCTGTTGATTCATATGACCTTGGTACAGGGATGTTGATGCATAGGTACCATGGTATCTCGATATTAATATAACGGACCGTAATGTGTTGATATTAATACATATGGACCATGGCATGTCAATATTGACACATGTGGACCATGGTTTTAGTTGCAAGTCCCAAGTAGAAATAAGCAAAGGATGGAAACAGATTTGCCTGTTGTCATGGAAACGAGATACGGTATGCGCATGGTGATGAAGAAATCTTTCATTAGTCAGAAAGAGCTTCAGAATATCTTAGAAACAAATGGCATAGCGATATGCTCAAGAGTTGAGTCACAAGCATAATATATTGTGTAATGGATAGCCTAAGCTATTCATGTGCTCTGGTCAAATAGGCTCATGTACATATATATATATATTTACAAGGAAGAACCATGTCTATAGATGTAGTGCATGCAGAGATGAACACTTGTGACCCATGATACACTGGTATGTGAGAACTGGACAAGGGTTAACTGTCATCTACAAGGGTTAACTGTCATCTACAAGGGTTAACCAGGAGGTAATGGCTGGTTGCAGTACCAATGTACAGTGCAAGGAGTGTGATACAAGATGCTGTGTAATACAATAGGACTGATACAGGGTGAGATACAGTACAAGGGTTGAGATACGAGTGTTATTCAATACAAGCAGCATGATGCAAGTTGGTTTATAGACAAGTGTGAGATGTGTTATACAACAGTAAGGTTTGCAACTCAAGGAGTATGATGAAATACAAGGGTTGAGATACAAGTGCTATTTAATAAAAGGGGTGAAATACAAGATGTGTTACTGCACAAGGGATGCATTACAAGTACGTAATATAGTACCATGTGTGTTATTCAATACAAGGGAGCAATACAAGTGATGTTTTACAATGTATTAGGAGCATGATATATGTGACATCTATCAAGATTCACCAACATTTCAGGTTTACAAAATGTATTGTATAAGATTGGAAGCAAATGTCTGTTTGGAATAGAAACCAATAGTATCTGAATACAACCCTTGTTCAATGATTGATGTTTATGTCTACAGTTGTTTATGGTATCATCATACTGTATTCTGTTATTATTACACCGTGTCATCCAAATCATACACTGCCTATTGTTGTCATAGAAACTGTAAATAACATAGTCGCACCAATCCCCGGTATCCACATCATATGTTGCCATGGAAACTGTCAATCTTTATATGCACCAATGAGGCTGTGCCCTATCACCAACATCATTCACTGCCAGTTGTTACTAAGAAACTAAATCATTTAGTTGTACCAATCCCCATCATTGATTTCATACACTGTTTCCATAAGTTACCATGGAAACTGTCAATCATATTGATACACCAATTAGATTACACCCGATCCACATCATAGTTGGCTGTCTGTTGCCATAGAAACTGTAAATCATTTAGTTGTACCAATCCCCATCATTGATTTCATACACTGTTTCCATAAGTTACCATGGAGACTGTCAATCATATTGATACACCAATTAGATTACACCCCATCCACATCATAGTTGCCTGTCTGTTGCCATAGAAACTGTCAATCATGTATATGCACCAATGATTATTGATTCACTGTATTCATATGATCAGGCTAAAGAGAAGCCTTATGTAGTAAGGCTGTAAGGCTAGGAATCTTCTGCAACCAGTTTCTTGCTTTGATCAAGTCTGGCAGAAGTAAGTTATTATTGTCTCATTATTCCTGGAGAAACATTAGGTGAGATGGTGAGGTATGTTATGCAGACCTTTAAAGAGATAAGGTGTAAGTTTGAATCAATTTTAATGAAACTTACATATGAAGGGCAAGGATCAAATAGTTTATAAAGTTTACAAAATCCTTTGAAATGTATTTTTTTGTTGTAAATGTTAAGTAGGTAGGGGAAAAAGTGAAAATGGGAGAAATAGGACTTTATCCTGATTTGTTTTGAAGTTTTTAGTGTAATTTATCCACAGGTTTATATGATGTATTTTGGTTGTTTTTAACACATAGTATTTATTTCTGTATGCCATATTTTAAAAGCACTACTTTTTATTTTTATATTTTTTAATCTTCAATTGCTTAGAGTCTGCAAACTTTTTCGAGCATTTTCTTAAAATTATTGGTTTGAATTACCTGCTCAGAAGTGAGTAATAAATTTAGTTAACATGCTAATCAGGGATAATACAGTCCATTCTCTTTGCATTGTCCATTTTGAGGTTATGGGTTGATTTGTCTGTAAAGCAAGTACCAATAATCCCTTGAAATGGGTTGACTTATTAATGGATGATAGGTATATATATGCTTTCCAAGGCATAATTTATTGAAATGTAATGATATTTTGTGTTTGTAAACACTGATATGTGTTTAGAGGAGAACAACCAATCTGGAATTACGCGTAATGAAACGAGCTTGGAAAATGTAAGACCGTTTTCCCTCTTGGAGTGCTTGACATTAATAGCTTTAACTGGTATACATGTAAAATGCAGAATTAAGTAAGACAAGAGAGAGTGGTATCAGCCCACCAGTGTCTTGGCTGAAACAATAGATGCTGGATTGCTTGGTATGGCAATCATTACAAACTGTACAAACCACCAAACAGGGAAAATAAGGTTTAATGCTCAAGTGCTTGCTCTCTCAAAAACATATATCAGACTTTTCAAACACAGATTTAGTTACGTTTTGATAGAACTTTAGAAAGACTGACTGACTGAGTGAGTTTGGTTTTACGCCGCTTTTAGCAATATTCCAGCAACATCACGGCAGGGGACACCAGAAATGGGCTTCACACATTGTACCCATGTGGGGATTCGAACCCAGGTCTTGGCGTGACGAGCCAACGCTTTAACCACTAGGCTACCCCACTGCCCCTCTTTAAAAAGAAAGAAAACATCCATTGTTGTGTACGTACAGGCTGCAAGCACAATGTTGAAGTTTATTGTTTCAAAACGTCTCCAAGACCAGGTCTTCCAGACTAAACTGGCATGTGTCATATTGTCTGCCAAATTGGTGCAATTCTGATGCTTGCTCTCTTCCTTCAATTCCTCTTATTAGAGATCAATGGTATTGGTTTATTTTATTCCCAGAGGCCAAACAAACAGATTCTTGTTTATGAGAAAGCATTCAAATTGTTCATCTTTCATTTGTCATCAATCCAAAGTTCTCATTGTTGATGAGATTCAGATAGGTGCTAAGTATCTCACGTGCTAAGATGGTGTTAGAGCGCTTTGTTGTCCTTTTTTTGACAATGTTTGTTTTGATGTTTCATTGTAGCCAAAGATACTCATTTTTATACTCTGTTGTATTTTGAGGGACAGGGCCTTGATTTTCGAAGCTGTCTTAGAGCTAAGATAGTCGTAAGTGCCATACAGTAACATTAACTTACGACTATCTTAGCGCTAAGAGAGCTTCGAAAATCTAGGCCCAGTTTTGCAAGTCAATGCAAATGTCTTGAGTATTGTCACTTCAAGGCCATAAATGTGTAGATCTGTGCCATATTGGGTTTCAGTGTTTTTATATTTTTTGTTGATTCTGAACCAGCTAAGTCAGATTCCACCTTCAAGTTAAATGTAGTCATCAACTGTGAAGGAATTATAATAATTTTGCTTGATGGTAAGGGACTGGCCATTTATTACCGGGAGTTAATTCTAAGGTTGGACATTTCTTTTCATGTCCCTTCCCCCAAAACACCAAATGCGAAAATACTTTTTAAATTATAAAGTGTTAAATGTCACATTTTTAAATCTTGAACCTCCCCAAATATGGCATTGTGTTTTGGTGACCCTCCTGATTCTCAATGACCCCTTCTTTATTATCAGAAAAAAAGTCCCTAAATTGCATGCAATTGTATCAGCAAAATTGTATATGATATTTCGTAAATGTGAAAACAATTTGAAAAGAATATTTTGTAATTACAGTTCAAAAGAATATTTTGTAATTACAGTTTCAGTACAGAGTATTGACATCGATTTTTAACTTATTCTATATATAAAGGTGCTGTATTTGTTTTGGGTAGAGATGGTGTTTATGGGTTACAAGTCTGTTGATAGTCCTGTACATGTCAGTAAACAAGCTGTTGTTCTTCCATGATCATGGCCAGGCTTTAGGTTACTATGGTTACAATTACACACAGATGTTTGAAATTGCTGAACATTTTCTGACATCTTTATCTACTCAGTGCCAAGATGAAATTAGGGGAAAACACTTGAGGTATGGATGAATGTGAATCCTGAATGAAGACAATGCATCTATACATGGTTTGAAAACTGGAGACGTGTCTCCAAGATTGATATGGATATTGACATAAGTCGTTGTCAGCAAGAAATAAATACTCAGATTTGTATAACAATTGTCTTTGGTATGATAGTTTTGTTTCTATCATTGGGGCAGACCAATTTTATTTCTTGTTTTACGGATTTTTGTCCTCAGAAAACCTAAAGGCAGGAGGGGAAAAAATAAAAAATAAAAATCACCAGTCAAAGTAATATCCTTTTAAATACTAAAAGTACTTTATTTTTGGCAATTAATGAAGTTTATATGGGGCAAAAAAAACAATCAAAAAAATATATTTTGTAAGTTTACATTTTTGGCCAATAAAAACATGAGGATTTTATTTTTTGAGCAGGGAAAATTAATTTTTTATTTTTTTCTTATTCTTGAAAAAATACGACTGGCGGATCCGAAAAACAAGAAATAAAATTGGTCTGGCCTTAGATATGTACATTGTTATAAATACATATTTGTGAAAACACGCTTATTTAAATCAAGTCAACGTCCTTGTAGTTGATGGTTTCAGGAAATGCTACGTACTTCAGGTGCTTTTATGCTTATTGAAATTGTTAGACAGGTACTGTTTCTCAGTAGATAATACTGAATATGTTGTGTTGAGGGTCAGTTGAGGGACAGATTGTGAAGGGGCTCTCAGGAATATGTGTATTGATATTGGAATCCGTGAAACACCTTGATTGAAATATACATGTTAGTCAAGGCTCCAACAGGTGGTAGGCGCTTTTTTACTGTTGAGAGATTCTTTAGGTAGCCAGTGTTGCCTTCATCTAGCCCCTGTTGTACATAAAAGCAGTCTATATATATTTGTACATACGTCTCCAGTATCACAATGTTACTATTTGTTTTGACAATCGTTTCGTAGCCAAGTTTCTTACGTGAAATGGCAGAATGTAGAAATGTTGTTACCGTGGTTACCATGATCGTTGTGCACATGTCAACAGTATTAGCGGATTTATGTAATTTATGAAATGTTAATCTACATGATTGATTTGTAATTCATAAACAAAATAAAA